GGGGGGGGGGGGGGGGGGGGGGGGGGTGTTCTTCATTCCTCCAGTTTCTCTGCGTTTTGAGGCAACAATGAATTAATGAATGAAAACAATGAATGGGGGGGGGGGGGGGGGTCTGGTTGGTGAAATCATCTCTGGGGACTTTATTATTTTCTCGCTGCTCGCTGTGATTGACAGGTGAAGGCCAGCGAGCCTCACGTCAGAGTTTTATCTCCGTTAGTGAAAATCATAAACATTTAGAGGTCCAAAACCAGAAGCTGGACCAGAACCTGGACCAGAACCTGGACCAGAACCTGAACCAGGGTTCAGATCAAATCTGCCATGAGCTTCACTCAACCTGAACGTTTGACCATTGGTTTGAATATTTATCAGGGGGTCGTTTCAGGGGTGCAGGAGTCTGACCCCCTCCCTGTGGAACCCCAGAAGTCCTCCAGGCCGACACACCAGGAGACCCTGGGGCCGGGGTGGCCAACAGTTTTTCCACGGGGGCCAAATCCAGATATTTAAAGCAGCCGAAGGGCCACAGAGTTAGAAAATAAGCTGCAATTAAAACCTTTGATCAGTTTTTTCTTGCAGCGTCGTCATGCGTGATAAAAACATGTCGTTTCTGTAAAGTGACTCAACTTACGTGTTTTTCATCTCGTTAATCCGGAGCGGTTCATGTTTTTGGCCAAGATGTTTCATTTAAACAAATAATCAAAGTCAGGTTTACAAAAACTTGAAGTTGTTTCCTTAGCATGTCGGGGCTGAAGGACGTGCCCTGCCTGGGGGGCAGAACTCCCTGCAGGGATCAGTTTTACCCCTGTGACTGTAGGGCCCCCAGCAGGACCTGCAGAAGGGAGGTCTGGGGTCCCTTTTGGTTCGGTTGTCGACCCCAAAGAGCCGAACATGGACGAACCCTTCAGGGTTTTCTGGTAGATCAGAACTTGTGGTTCCATCAGTGAGACCAGACCAGACCAGACCAGACCAGACCAGACCAGACCAGACCAGATCAGACCAGACCAGCACTAGTTCAAGTTCAAGTAGGTTTATTGTCGTTTCATCACGTGCTACATGTGGTGGAATTAAATCGTGTACGCAGGGTCCCGTTACACCCAAAATATAAAAAATATACAGTAAACACTAATAATATAAATATGGTGTATTAAACAGCAGCCTGAACATGAGTCTGTGGGGAGCAGATGGGTTTGAATGAATACAACAGAATGAGATAATCAGCAGCATGAAACATCAGCAGCATGAGATAATCAGCAGCATGAAACATCAGCAGCATGAGATAATCAGCAGCATGAAACATCAGCAGCATGAGATAATCAGCAGCATG